AGGAGCTGTTTGTTCCTTTTTTTGCCTTTGGTTCTGTTTCCATATCCTGTTTGTTAATGCCAGCTTGGGCAGTAAGTCTGGCATGCTGGTCCAGTGAAGCCGACTACGAAGTGAGCAGTGTGAAGCCTTCTCTGCTTTTGGCAAGAGCCTGAATGCAACTTCAGAAAAAATTACTTCATCAGAGCCAGTCTGTTGGAGGTATTTCCAGCAGCAGCAAAGAAAATTGCAATTAATAGTGAAATCCATCTAGCCCAGAGGATGGCATTCACCTTCCTGTGTGCAGTCTTGGCTCTTTGCTTTACTTATTGAGGATTTTCTCATCTGGTCAGATTTTGGTAGCTTGTCTGGTGCAGTCTGTTTGTTTTGCTCGCTGTCCATCCGTGCCCCTGATGCTGACTTCCAGCAAGGCACTTCCATCCCAGTGAGGGCTTTCTGTAGGACTGAGTGTGGAGTGGTAATTCTGCCCAAATGTCCTCTCCTGCTGTCAGTTCTGAAGGCCAGCTCTTCCTGAGCTGAGCTCAAGGGCTCAATGAATACTCTTTATACCTGGATTCCTTCTGAAGGAGCCTTCTCAAATAGCACTTTCAAATCTTATCTTTGCCTTACGAATGTTGAAGGTCCCTTGCTCTAGCTGGATCAGGCCTCTTCCATACTGGCTGCAAAATATCCATCTTCTTTGGCAGTTGCAGTCCACATTGAGCAGCTTTGTTCCCAGGTTATAAACACCAACCACTTAGTCAGTTTGCCGCTTTCACCATGACTGGAGTGTTTATTTCTGTTTCAGCGATGCTTTGCAGTCTTGCTGGAGAAACTTTTGATCCACCGGCTTTCCGGTTGAATTTTCCAAGAGCTGGTTTATGTGTTTGGGGTGTGTGTCCATGCACTATTTCATGTTGGTAGCTTGGGTTTCTCCTTCCATGTGCGTGTTCCTTTGAAGTGCTTATTTTCTTTTAAGATCAAACTAGCAGCAGACCTGTGGCACTCTAATCTTTTCAGATCATGTTAACGGAAAGAATGCTTCTCACTGGCAGCTGCGAGTTCCCCTCGGACAGCAGTCCTGCCTGTCTGAAAGCATCGCTCTGTCAGCGAGCAGGGTAACTGCATGGTAGTGATGGATGTATTTTGCAGTGCTGTGTTCTAGGGGTTTTTGAATGTGTATGTGTGGAGGTACCTGGTGAAGGAGGAAATGTTGGGATGTTGTTTGGGGAGGGTCTGCCTGACATCATTTCTGTGCTCTAGAGAACAAGTTACCAAGATGTGCAGCAAAATAAAGCAGCAATGTTCCTTTTGTGTATCGCAGCTGGATTCACAGGGGAATGTTGTTCTAGTGTAGATATTTTTATCATGGAATGCAAGATGCAGTAGCCCCAGTACCACCCTGCAGCCAGGGTGCCCTGTGCTCCTAAACCACGCTCGCCACTGTGGTGTCTGAGCAACTGTGCCCGGCCGGGCTGCAGTAAAGCTCAGAGTTACTTAGCTGCATGATTTTAGACTAAATGTGGCTTTATGAGAAACAGGCTGGTCTTCAGGTTTCAGAAATGGAAAGCGCTCATTTAAACTTCTGCAACTGTAAGTAATGCAGTGATGCTGTGTTATTCAGATCTTTAAAACCTGAGGAGTTGGTTGGTTGGAATGGTACTCCTTGAATGGGGAGGACAGTAAGTAGGACATTGGCTTCCTCCACTTCTTGCCTTATCAGTGACTTTCTGATCCCTTCACAAGGAAGCTGTCCTGTGAGTAAGGCCTTGGATAGGACTCTGGAGACTTACATACGTACTTCTTGTTTCTGCTACTTACCATCCTGCGTGACCTTAAATAAGTTATTTAATGTCTTTAGGTGTCAGTTTCTCATCTTTACCAAAAACCCCTCAACTAACCAACAGAAAGAAAAAAACCCCAAACCAAACCCCAAAACCCAACAAACCAAAATAAAATCCCAAACCCTCATGTTTTCTTACATTTTTCTGTATACTGCATGTTGCTGCTCATTACATATGTGTAATTGCACAAACACCATTTTCACTTGGATTTCTAGATGCTGTTGCAATCAAATTACTAATCAAACCGTATTTTGTAAATATGCCTTGCACAGTGTGATTTGAACATTATAATTCAATAGATTAAGGTCATCTATTTTCCCAGTCAGAATGGCATTGTATCTTTGGCTGGAAATGAAAGCAGAAAAAAGAGAAATGCTGGATGTTTGAGTATAGTAACTACCTGTTGACTCATTCATACTGTAGTAACTCTTCACATACAACTGAATGGAGATTTTTGAGTAGTTGTTTCAAGCAGCCTATGGTCTCCTGGTCAGTCTGACAGGCTCAGGGTGACGCAAAGAGATTTCTCCATCTGTTTATTCACAGATCTGGGTAAGAATCCTATGCAGCTTAAGAACTGCAGAGTTCTAGAAACATGGATGTATGCATTAGAACAACTGAAAATAAGGGAATACCAGCTCACTTGAGAATCTAGTTTTCTGGTAATGGTCTGTCCAGTAAATTGATCCTTGCATCCTTAGCAGTGTTAGAAAATACTAAAGGCTCCAGCTTTGGGTTTGTATATTTTCCTGGACTGCAGCTAGTAAAGCCCTTCTCATCTTTATGCCAAGACATTCCTTGGCCAGTGGGATCATTCCACTGGCTTAAATATTTTTTGTTACACACCCCCTCAGACAGTGTTATGTCCTGTCAGGGCCCGGCTAAATCCTGGGGAGGTCAGTGAGATACAGCTACCTGCCTCCTGTGCTGCACCCTCAGAAAGTGCTGAAATGGGGATGGTACCGGAGAATCCTGCCCAAAGGAAGCTAGGTAAAGGGTTGGATGAATGAACCAAGAGTGTATCTGAAGTGAAGGAAAGAACTTACTGGGTGTAAATTTGGCAAGATTTACAAATTTGCCAATTTGTAAATTGCCTGACCCCTAGGCAAGGATAGGGATGCAGGGAAGTGAGCCATGGGAAGGATTCTGTATAGTTGGGAGCTGCTGTCAGGTTCCTTTAAGTTTCTTTCAATTAAAAGATTTTGAACTGAAATGTCTGGACTGATGTGCTGCCAGCAGTGGGAAATGGTTGTGGACGTGGATCCTGAAACTTGGAACTATGGTTATTTGTGAACCTGCAAGTAAATAGGCTAGAGGTTTATATTGGGGCACACTCTGTGTGTTTGTGTGGTTGAGGGTGTCTGTCTAGCTCTTGGTCTGTGTTTCTCACTCTTTTTCTCTTTGTGCCTCGTGCAGGCCCTGCCATGAATTTTCTCTGACCCCTTGGGGCCATTCCCACATGAAGCTTTGATGTGTGTGCCCAGAGCTTGATTGACAAGGAAGTTTCGGTGGCGGCAGCAAGAGAAAAGGGCAGGGCTTTGAACTAAAGGGCTTTGAGCTCTGAGATGCTGTGCTTACTTATCTCTTTCAGAATGTTAATTATTTACCAAGATAATTGGTCAGGAGGGGAAAAAAAGAGAAGGGAGGTTATTAAAAAATTCCAACACTAACACACTACAAAAACCTCATTTTCTAACTTGCAGCTGGCATGAAAAGGATGTTGTGTGTATGTGTGTGTGTGTGTGGGGAGCTTTTTAAGGTACCCATTTCCTAAATAGAGGGATCCCTTCAGACGGGTGCAGCGGAAACATCAAAGCTCTTGCAAGAGTTTTCTCTAGGGTTTCTAAACCGTGTCTGGTACTTTTTAATTAAAAAAGTTTATGGAGAGCTGTGGCTGTGGCTGGAGCAGCACCCCCGGCCCCAGCGGCTGGGGAGCGGCGTGGTAAAGGATCTAATAAATAATGATTTCTGCTAAGATGGCAGTTCAAGGACATGGAGATGCCTGGCTGCTGTGGCAGGAGCTGAGACTTGGAGTAGGCTGGTGGATGTCTCTTGCTTCAGTTTAACATGGTGTGGGCCATGCTGTATGTGGAAGTCTGCAGCCTTTGGTTAACGTCAGAGTTTGTAATACCATGTCCCCGTTCGAGGGATGTAGTCAGGAAGATAGGTGATGATGTTTCATTTTGCCTCTGGTTAGCACAGCTTTATTAGTCTCAGTATTACATAGCAGTCCACAGACGAATGCAGAGAACCTTTGAGTTCTGGTAACTGCTGTGCTGGATCAGGTCCAAGGACCCTCATTCCGGTATCCTGACTGGTGACAACAGAGGTTCAAGAACAGGCAGGCTGCCCTGCACAATTCCTATGTATGCATTAATGATGTGAAGAGGGGCAGTTGCTTGCTTTTATCTATTTCTTTATTTATTGAATCAAGGTGAGAAGTTTAGTGTTACTGTTTCTGTGTATGTTGAACATAATTCAAATTTTGTATTGAATTATCCAGTACATTTTTATGCAGAGGTAGTTGAGTAAAGCTGCTGAGCCAGGACATAAGGGACCGAGCGTGTAAAGCAGTGAACGTGCAGTCCTACAGTTACCTGGGTCACTCAATGAGCTCAGTGGATGAAAAAAATGTTTGAATATGGCAGAGTTATTCTGACAAGTAGGAACTGGGAGTCCAGGCTGCGTTTATAAAAGGACAGACTGTAGCCTGGGAAGCTGTGGAAACCAGACAAATTCCAACTAGAGACAGGGTGTAAATGTTGCAGTATCATCTAGAGTAGATTTCTGAGGGCATAGCTTGATTTTCCTTCTCTTACTATCAGTCACTCAGGTCTTGGAAGATTCTTACTCATATTCACGTTGTCTGCTCAGCAGTGGAGAATGTGGGTGAAATATAATGGCATGAGATAGAGGACAGAGGAAGACAAATGGCAGGTCATCAGTGCCATGAGCATGCGCTGTACGGGTCTCGTCACCTGTGTGTAGAGAATAGATCATGTCTTACTCTGAGTGCCTTGTGCTCTGCACACGTTGAGCCTTTTCTGAATTATAGATGGCTCATTGCCCTCAGCTTGAACTCTGAATTTGTCTGTAGCTGTCTAACCTGTGTCTAATGTTCACAGTGACCTGTGAAAGCATGTACAGTCAGTGATCTCTTCTCTTCCCCTTTTGCTGCAGGCTAAACTCTTTCCAACTGCTGTCATTCATTTTGGATCTGAGGAGTGCAGGGGTGAGTGAATTTCCTCTCTTCTTCAGCTGTGTAGCTCCTGTGGTAGATCCAGAAGAATTACATCCTTATGTATCCTTCTGATAAAAGATAATGCAGTCCTTGAGAGTGCTGGTAGATGTTCCTGTTCGGAATGGCTGAAGCTCTCCGAACTAGCTTGGTCAGTAAACACAGCACCTTTCCTATGAGATTTGTTAGGCTGTGGAGTGGATGTTGTCTGCTCTGGGCACAAGAATGATAGAAAAACAGCTCTGTAGAAGGATATTCCACTGTTCAAAACGTTAACTAGACAAATGACACTGAAAGACTTTTACAGACCTCCTGTTGTAGTGAACTGGCTGCAGATGGGAGAACAGATTTGAACCTTTGATTTTTTGACACCTCTGTGTTATGCTTAGAATCTCATTCTCCCAGATTAAAGCATGCTCTGGCTTCACAGAAAAGCTTCTGAGATGCAGTGAGCACTGACAGAAAATGTCAAGATCTTGAGGTCTGAATGAGGAAGTGAGCACCTCGAGTTGTGAAAGAAACTGTCAGAGTTTTGAAGTGTCCTGTGTCAGCTGGGGGAAAGTGGTGCAGATTTACTGTAGTATACAGCAGGTATTTCCTGAGCTGAGCGCTATGTGATTCTGTGGTGATTGATGTCTCTCTGTTACCAAACAAGTGTCTGGGTTTCATTTTTAAACAGATTGTTACCTGAAGTCAGACCTGCTGAGCTCTGCAGTTTCCCCTTCTGCAGCTGATGTATTAGTAGCCAGGTATGTTGTGACTCAATAGAGTGGTAAATGGATATTTTGGGAATGGGAAGCATGAAACGAACCCATCTTAATACAAAGACATGTGCTCTGAAGATCCTAGGACTTCATTTTCTCCTTAAACAGTCAGAGTGTCGTACTTGACTTCATAGCTTTGTGAGTCCGTCTTTGCAAAGTAGGATTTCAGTGACTAAATCAAGTAAATCCTTTTATGATGAAAAAGAACCTTTTCGATCTGACTTTAAAAGTTTAAAGGTGGTGGTACAAGGGGCTATTACGAAAAAATTAAGCTTAATTCTACTTGCTTGGTTTTTTTCCTCAGATGTTTGTCCAAATCATTAGTTCCTTCTGCTTCATCATCTTTAGAATCAATAGTTCCATCGCTGGCTGAACCAGAAGCGGGAAGTGACAAAAAGACCAGTGAGCAGCCAGAGCCAGCAAGTGTGCATGAAGCTCCACCGGTGCTGAGGAGGGCCCCTGGGAAAATACCCAAATGGCTGAAGCTGCCAGGTATCATGAAATCAGAGGAGAGTTCTTCTCATTCTTCCTTTGCTGTTAGAATCTGCTTTAGTACTTTTCTCTTTATTTTTTTGAGTTGGTCTTTCTGTTTTCAATCTTCCCTGCACACCAGTAGTGGTTTTCCATCGCTGAGGTTGCAGCCAAGTTTCCATTAAGAATTTTTATTGCAGAAAACTGCAACCTTGTTTTTAGTCCCAGAACCAATAGCTTATATGTGGGTTTTATATGACAATTTATACAAAGTATGAAGGATTTCTGAATTAAACAATGGGCAGTATTCACTTTTTGGTGCAGTGGCAAAGGAGGGGGAGGGAAGACAATCAACGCCGTTAACGTCAATAAAACTAGGAAGAACTATATGGAATTCCCTGGCTAGTAGTGCCAGATATTAACTTCCTGAATGAGAATTTTAGAGTTTGATTCTGGAAGATACTGTGGGGCCATCAGCTCCAGCAAGCACAGTGTGAGGTGTGAAATGATTGCTGGAAGGCTGCAGACAGTAGGTTGGTGTCTTTCCCTGCTGTGGCTTGTCTGCTTTAGACTGGTACTGGGATACTGATGGGAAACTGTATGCTTACCATTTCCTATTTTCAGTATGCTTGAAGCATTCCACTTAAGAGTAGAACTTTCTTTCCTGAGTAAAGATTATCTGGATAAAGTACAAAATAACATCTCACCTACCTGTGCAGGTTACCTACTAATATCTGTTACGAAAGGTTAGTAACAGGCTCCAATGTGCATGTTAATAACATGTAGAAAGAAGTTCCCTGCTCTGAACATTCTGATGTGTTCACCATTCCAACTCCTGCAGAAGTGCTCCTATGTACTATCCAACTGTTGCCTGAGTGCAGCAGTGTATAGAACCCTCAGCAACCAGATAGCATCCCAGACTGGTTTGGGTTGGAAGGGACCTTAAAGCTCCTCCAGTTCCAACTCTCTGCCACGGGCAGGGACACCTTCCAGTAGAGCAGGTTGCTCCAAGCCCTGTCCAGCCTGGCCTGATCATGTTATTGAGAAACAATACAGTGCAAATTACCCAGTTAAGTGTTTTAATGCTCTTATGTTTGTTTTGTAGGTGGAAAGAGATGAAACATTGTGGGCTGCTGGATCAGCATCAGCTGTGTCCCTTCCCTGATGAAATTACTCAGAATGTGTAAGAAATTGTTGGTGACCCTGGAGAGATCTAATCTGCATGAACATTAGTAATAAATAGAAAATTGCTATTTCAGATGGCAGCTGCACCATTTGGAGGAGTGGACAGCCTGTTTGTGGTCTTCATTACCACAGAAGCAAGGTTGAAGGTTTAAGGCTTCTTGCATGCAAATAATATGAATAGAGAATTAAGGGGGAAATAATTCCTGTATACTTTCTGTGAAGGACTTTGTTTCTATGCATATTTTTAAATCTTCCCAGTTCTACCTTCAGAGATAACTCAAGTCAAGCTGCCTGAATTCTAGCAGCAAGATATAATCCTGTTCAGTTTTACCTGTAGTTAATTGCTGTCTAGAATAAGATTTCTCTCTGCTTCTTGCTGGCTGGGGTTAGTGCTGCTGATAATTCTGGGTATAGATGGCTGGAAAGTGAGCAAAGAGGAAGCACTTAGGTGACTTCCAACAGTTCAGATAGGCTTTTTGTGTGAACCTCTTCTGCTGCTGCACTCGTATTGGTTTCAGTTGCCAGAATCTTGTTAACAAAGAACACAGGTATCTGTTAATGGAATAAAAAGTGAGGGGAAAAAAAACATCCAGTAAAAGGGTCTTTTCCTGTGACATTGATCTAAGGACTTCCATGGTCTGAGTGTTTCCCAGCAGAGTTGCTGTTCTCTGCAGCGCTATTCAGGTACAGAGGGAAGCACTAGTCCAGATCTTTGTCTCCTGCAGATGTTGTGTGGGGGTTGGTATTGTTGGTTAGAATTGCACTTACACTGGAGATGGACTCTGTAGTGCCACAGTGGCCATGGTGCTGGATTTCATTTGAAGTCGACTCCATGGATCAGTGATCCACATTGGGCAGCTGGGGTTCCATGTTACGCTAATAACATGTTTTCCATTTTCCCTGCCATAGACAATTGTTCCCTGAATTACGTGTGCATCTGCACAATTTGTAGATGTAATAAAGCAGAGTGGCCATAGGAGGCCTTTCTGTCGGTCTCTTTGATAATATGTTTCTTCCCCCAGTGCTTGGTTCCTCTGTCAGTTCACAGGAACCTGCTCCCTTCTCAATGGGCCTGTCATGCCTCATTCCCTTCCTTTTTTTTTTTTTTCTTTTTTTTTTTCCCCCTCCAACAAAGCAAACTGGAGCTTTGTACCATCTGAATGAACTTCAAAGTGGCCAGAAAGGGCATGCAGGGTTCCTGGCACTTGTCATTGTCTCCCAGCCTGGCCAACATTTCCCTTCAGGTCTAATTACTTCCAAATGCTCCCAGATGCTTTGAAGAAACTCAGAGGGAGGGGGAGGCATGAAAGAAAGGTGGAAGATGAAGAAGGAGGCTCAAAGTGGAGGGAGCAGAATGCTTTAGCAAAAAATGTTGATTGATGTCTTGTATGACACCCAAACATAAACAGGGAATGTGTGCGGCCACTGGCAGCGGGGAATGTGAGAGCAGCATGTACAGCTGCTGCTCTAAATCCTTCCTGTGGAAAGCAAGACCTTCTGGTGCTTGACAGGCTATAAAAGATAGTGCAGCAAACCAAAAATACTGAAATAATGCTTAAAGTTTATTACTTTAGTGGATTAAGTGTGGGCTGAGCCTACACTTAGGACTATCTGTATCTTTGTTCAGGTTTTATGTCAGGCTGGAGATAGACTGTAGCTAGAGCTGCTTTGCTGAATTTATGCAGGATATATCAGGGGGTGGCTAACAGCCATAGCTAAAGATAGGTGATGAGATACTTGTGCTGGTGGTTTAGATTGATGGGGTTAGAATAAACAAGTCTGGTTGGTAGGAAGTTGTATTGTGCTTTCTGATGTACTAGTCTTTTTGAAGAGCAAAGGCAACATCAGGTTGTACTGATTTGATGGTGCTATTCTGATCCCACCAGTTTTGACAAAGAGGGAGCACCACAACTATCACCTGTAAGTACCTGATATGGGAAGACAGGAAAAGTTTAATGACACAAGCAGCAGTATCATTATTACTGGGGCAGTTTCATAGGTGAAGTACAGGGGTGAGGATTAGGAGACTTCGTATCGCTGATCACATGCAGTACCTCAGTCAGTTCTGCCCGTGCTTGTCCCTGTTTAACTCAGCCATGCATGAAATGCAATTTAATCTACTTCTCTTTCAGGAGGATGAAAAATTGGTCCCTTCAACAGCTAGCCCAGAAGCCTTACTCTTCTTTTCCTAGAGTTAGTTTTAGCTGTTGCTATTAAAATACTGCTTTACTATTAACATCAGCAATCCTTTTCAGTCAAGAATGCTGTACATGGACCAGGTATGTCAGAGAAGTGAATTCGAGCCTTTTCAGAGCAGCAGCTTTTAGAGACGTCCATGTCAGTAGGAGTCAGGACGGGGGAAAGATGAGGATTTGAGATCTGGAAGAGGCAAGAAGGTAGGAGTTAATTCTAGACAGGGGACAAGATGCCCAGATGTTTTAAACTGCTGGCTCTTCACTGAGACAGAGAAAAAATGACTGCTGTAGCCGAACCCAGGACACTGCTATAAGGATTCCTACCTTGCCACAGAACAATACATGCAGATACCTGATGTGCTGGATTCGTTTCAGTATCACTTCACAGTAGCTGAAGTAATCCCTGGGGTTTTGGGGCATTCAGAGGTACTTGCATTTTTTTGCTGTTTGCCTTTTTTTACCATATGGTTGTGGGGCTGAAGGCTGAACTAGGTCAGTTCCTTCACTGGTTTCATTGTACAGCTGCACAAACAGTTGTCCTGGCAAAGAGGCTGCAGCACTGAGGGATGGGGCACTGCTTAAGCTGGTGCTGTCATCACAAAGAACATTGTAAGTGTAGTAAATTGTGGGTTTAGTTGAAGTCTCCCAGTGTCTGGTGTCCTGAGCAATAACCTTGATAGCTCTTGGCTGAAAGAGTCCAGTGACCCACTGAGCCTCTGCCAGCTCCAGCTGTCAGTGGGTGAAGTGGTGGCTGTTGCTAATCCCCAAGCGAGCTGCCAGCACTGTGCACCCTTCAGGCACGCTGCTGTCAGCTGCTTTTCCTGTAGCCGGCTGCAGATTTCCCAACAAAGGCAGTTCAGTTCCGTGGGTCCTGCCTCCATGTGTAAGGTTTCTTATTTCCCAGCTCCCCCCTGCTGCCCGCGGGGCCAGGCTGGCCCATGATGTGGGATTCTCACACATGCTGTTTGTTATTCTGTCCTTTTTCCTTTCGTCCTACAAAGATTCAGAGAAGAGGGTGGGTGAGGGGGAAACTTTGCAAGTCTTTGAAGCAACTTGACTTTCGATGATTAATTGCAGCAAAGAAGCCTACACGAGGGAGGGAGACTCTGTTTTAATTTATTGATGTTTCTTTGTGAGAAAAAATTTATAGCAGAGGGGAAGCAGCTTCTGAGGAGCATATCAAATGGTTAAAAGGTTCCAAGCATTCTTTGATGTCACAGCCCTGCAGAAATACTGGAAGGTAGTGAAGGACAGACATTGTTTATTTATAAAATAAAGATCAGTTACCTGCTTTTGGCAAGAGCCTGTGCCTGAGCTCCTGTTAACAACCTATTCATTAGACAGGCTTGGAGCTGGACCTAAAGTTTCTGCCACAGCTGCCCGCCAAGGCGATGAGACCCTGAAGGTTAGTTGACATTTCCAGCCATTAAGTATTCCCATGCATCTCTTTGAAGCAGCATCTGTTTCTCACGTTAACTGAGAAAGCAACAACATCTTCTTGTGCTGTGCAGAGCAGGCTCCTGCTAAAGGAGCAAGATGGAAACCAGTGCCTCAGCCGACTGAACCAAGAGTGCAGCAGCCTCCTTTCAAACCCAGCATCTGATGGCACAGTTGCCTAGGGCTTTTGTTGGTAAAAGAGAG